GCTGCCTCCAGTCTTGACATCACCAATGAGCTCACTTGCATTGGTAACCATCAGATCCAGTATTGCGTCCCCTCGGCTAGGGGTGTCTATTGCCTGGCTTAGGAAGTTGTCGTCTGTGCATTCCAGGAATCTCCTGGATTGCCTACAGCTCGCCATGTTGCTTTTCCAGCAAATGTTGGTGTGGTTGAAGTCCCCCAGCAGGACAAGAGTCTGCAAGCGCAAAGCCTCCCGGAGCTGGAGGAAGAAGGCTTCGTCAGCAGGTTCCCCTTGATCAGGTGGCCTGTAGTAGACACCAAGCACAAGGTTCCCTTTGTTGCCTCTGTCTCTGACTCTTACCCATAAGCTTTCGACCTGCTCGTGGCTATTCTTCAGGGACAGCTCTTCACACTGTATTGATTTCTTCATGTAGAGGGCAACACCTCCACCCCTCCTTCCTCGCCTGTCCCTTCTGAAGAGCCTGTAGCCATCAATAGCCACATTCCAGTTGTGGGATTTGTCCCACCAGGTTTCAGTTATGGCAATCAGGTTGTAGCTGTCTAGTAGCACAGCAGCTTCCAGCTCCTCCTGTTTGTTGCCCATGCTGCGTGCGTTCGTGTAGAGGCATTTCATCTGGGCTCTTGGCCGTGTCACCTTCTTAGTGGCACGTCCCTTGTTTCCCTCGGGGTGTTTCACGAAGGTTTCCTTGTGAGCTCTAACTATTTCAGGAGCCCCCGGCTCATCTGTGCCAGACTTCAGCTGTGCTGCAGTGTCCCCATCATGCATCTGGGCAACAGGTTGAGGGCTCACAGTGGCACCCTGTCCCTCTAACCGTTGCATACCATCCCACAGCTCTTCTAGGTACTGGCTTCCTGGGTTCATCATGGCAACTGCTGCCTGGTGTAGCAGTTGAGTGTTGTTAGTTTTCCACTAAATAAACTTGGGTAAGATAATAATGAATGCTTGTCTTGAAATCAGGGCACAGGTAAAAGCATTGAAAGGTAGGAGTCTTCAGGTGAGCTTGTTTAGAAACATACCAAATGTTTAGCTAGAAAAGTGGCAAGTACTCTGTGTGCTTTTTTTGTAATACATTAATAAAAAGCATTATTCTGTCTTGAAGCTGAAGAATACTCATTCAACAAAATGAAGAGTTGACTGCTAACTGGAAAAAAGTCCAAAGGATCTTTGCCAATACATGTACTTGGGAACCCTGTGATCGGTGTGTTCTGTTCTTCAAGTGAGATTAGCTGCTGCTTAAGGAAGTGAGGTGTACATAAGGACGGATGGTGTGATGACAATTGATGACTTGTAATGGTGTAAAATGTTCAGAATGTGACCTGCCTGTATCCATTAATATATCATATTTGGTGTATTTCTGGCTGAAGAAGTAGTAAGTGAGCATCCTGGCACGTCGTTGGCGTCAGGCCTTGTAGGTTACTCGTACAGTAGACAGTAGGATGTCTTAAGGGAATAACAGACCTAAGTAGCTCAATTCAGCACAGTAATCTGTGAAAGTAAATCTGTAAAACTCAATATGGAAGATTTTTTATAACAGCTTCTGGTGTCATTGAGATACCTGAAGAAAATTCATTTCAGAGAACATCTCTAAGTCTAATTCATTGGCGATAGATGTTTGTTTCCTTCATTAACAATCAATGTTTCTTAAAAAACATATACAGCTGATTTAAAAAATACTCATTTACTGCAATCAGAATTTTGAGAAGCTTAACTTGCAAGGCGGTAACTCTGTGAACAGTGTTTCATGAGTGAAGCAGCCAGATTTACAGATACTTGCCAGGACCTTTTGCTAGGTTAGTGTTTGTTTCACTTTGGAGACCTGTCTTGGTGGAGAAACAAGCAAAAAACCAACTTTGTTCTCTCTCTAAAGTACATGACATTCTATGTTTTTAGCTCTTTGACCTGGCTTCTTGTGGGATGAGGTAAGAGTGGGTGCCAGTACAAACGAAGGCTTGGGTAATGTGTGGCTGGAGAGTGGTGAGGAGCCTGTGACCACAGCCCCTTTTGGTCACAGCTGTTAGTTGGCACATTAGTTGTAATTTAAGTTGTACCTGAGTGGTAAGGTTATAGGGATATATTATATATATGTATATATATAGAAAATAATCCCTACAGAGGATAAAAATCAGCATTATGTATTTCTTGATCCCCAGTTTATCTCATAATCCTTCAGTATTTCTAGTTTATATGATCTGTTAGACTAATTTTTGACCACCAGTTTTGTTGCTGTCCATAAAGATAAGCTTTAAGGACGGGATTTGTACTTTAGTGTCTTTTAATGAATCACCAAAAGCTGTTAACCTTGTAAGGCTCTTAACTGAAATAATTTCCATTTCAAACTGTTATCTCCCACTTGTCAGGAGGCTGTGAAAGGAGTTGATTGTTACAGGCAAGAACTGTATTCAAATGAGTGTAAGAGAAATGGCATTAAGTATGTACTTGTTGCTATTTGATGCTTGTTAGGTAGCTGTGTGAGACTTGATGTACGGGTGCAGCATGCTGAAGACTGCTGGAGTGACTAATTGATGGCCATGGACCTCAGTACAGTGGTATATTCAGATTGTTTATTTTTTGTTTATATATGGGCACAAAGTACTGCATTGAGTTATGATACATACTGTTTGTTTCAACTTTCCTGTGCTTTGCAAGTCTATATTTGCACTACGTATTAGCTTAAAAAAGTATTCTTGTCATATGCATATTAATGTGGTAGTAAGTGAATGGATGTGATCCAAACCATTCAGTGAGAGGAAACCTTACACCTCAGTGGAGTAAGGAAGGCATAGAATCTAGATCTGTAGCTGCAGTGTGGCGTAAGTGATACGGGAGAATTTAAGTATTTCTTTGGTCTCTAAGCTTTGAGAAGAGATAGTCCTAGATGGATGGTCAAAGTACATTGAATGGGGTAGGGTGTGAAGTCAGCTGATGCAGGGACTAAATGCAAGAGTAGAAGGAAAACTAGACAGACCTCCACAGGTCTAGTTTCCAGACATTAGACTAAAGGGATCTGAGTCCCTTCAGTTTACTTAAGGGAAGTGTAAATAACTTCCTGATTATATGCTATAGATAATAGCACAGTATGTGTGTGCAGGCATGAAAAAGATGTGGAATTAGAAAGCACTTCAGAGTCACGAAAAAGGCATAATGTTGAGTGGCTGGAAATCTTCATTAAACAAATGAAATGGGATGTTTTGCAATAGGGAATGTGATCAATAAATAGCTTTCTCGTAAGTTGGTAAGTCTCTAAAAAGGTTTTTTTAAAAAAAACTATTTTGCTTGTGTCTCAGAGAAAGTTAATGAGTTAACGGTTTTTGTATTTTGAGCAGAATAGTGATGGTGAGCTGAATTACCGTGCTGCATACTTGTTAGGGTTTTTTTTCCTGGCCTTGGAGGAAAGGAGGATTTAAAGGCAGCTCATTGGCCATTGTCAGGGAGGAGTACTGACCTCAGCCTGCTTGAACACCTTGCAGCTCTGTGTTTAGATGACTCTGTCATGCTTCAGCTGGTTATCTGCTTTATAGTCCTGATATATTTTAGGTTTTAGCCTGTGTTTAGTCTTACCTGAAACATTTGGTCACAGCTGAAAGTAAATTGAGGTTGATTGGTTGGATAGCTTGGGAACTAAGAGAATCTGTTTCTTTTAAATGTCATGTTCACATGCTCTGTGTTGAACTGGTTGTCAGGTTTGAACTCCTAAAGGAGGCTTTTTTTCTTGCTGGCACTTCTGCCGACAGAAAGATACTTTTTGTGCTTCCTGCTGCAATTTAAAGCATGAATGTCTGGGATTGTGTAGGCATCATTTATTTAAACAGTTCATTTGTGTTGCAGGGGTGATGATGGCCTGTTTTGGTTTTTTGCCTGTGAACTGTGTGGTGTAAAATGTATAGGGGGTCAAACTAGAAGATCATAGAACCACAGAATGCTTTGGGTTGGAAGGGGCCTTTAGAGGTCATCCAGCCGAACGCCCCTGCAGTAAGCAGGGACAGCTTTAACCAGATCAGGTTGCTCAGAGCCCCATCCAACCTGACCTGCAATGTTTCCGGGGATGGGGCCTCCACTACCTCACTGGGCAACCTGTTCCAGTGCTTCACCACCCTCATTGTAAAAAATTGCTTCCTTATATCCACTCTAAATCTACTCTGAATCTACTCTCCTTTAGTTTAAATCCATTACTCCTTGTCTTGTCACAACAGGCCTTGCTAAAAAGATTGTCCCCATAAAAGCTTGTCCCCATGTCCCAGTTTCACTGGCCGCTGCCCGCAGGAGACCCAGACACCAACACTCCAGCGGCGGGCCCTGGCTGCTCCCTCACATCCCCTCAAAACCCACGCCCAAGCCACCCTCACCTCCAGAAACACGGGTACACGCCACCCAGCTCCTGCCCTCACGGGTCCCTCCCCACAGATCCCAGAGTCCCTGCCCCGACGGATCTCTCCCCTCACAGATCCCCCTGCCCCGCCACCACCACCAGCCCTCCTAGTATCCCTTCTGGGTCTAAACTTCCTGACATTACAGTGCCATGCACTTGCAGATGCATTTGGGTTTTGGCCTCAATTTCCTGATTTAAGGTGAATTTTTGAGCGTATTGTGCATATTGTACTGAGTATACTGTAGAGCATATTCAGAGTACATAGGGGGTGACAGTCTGCAGCCCTGTTGGTACTTACGTTTTGTTAACATGGAGAGAGAAGAAAGTGTTATTAAAAAGGAAAAGTACTTCATAGAAGTTGTCTTCTAATAATAACACTTTGACTTTATAAACAGCAAAATGCTGGGAATGAAATGCTGTATTTTTCTTTTTAGGTTTAAGAAGGCTGAAGCTTCACTAGAGCTGTAACTAGAATGGACAGTTACTTTAAAGCTGCAGTCTGTGACTTGGACAAACTACTTGATGAATTTGAACAGAATACAGGTTAGTTGCTGTGCTGCCTCATTCTCCAGCGTAATAATATTGGTCAAATGACTGTTGCTGTGGAATTTGGAAGTAACATATGCTAAACAAAAGCTTGTATGGATGAAGAGATGGGATTTAGAGGGAGTGCACTGTGGAGAGGGAGGAGTTTCATAAACTTTGCTTTTGATCTCTTTTTGCTTAAAATAGATGAATATGACTGCTACAGAACACCTCAAAATCCATATGAGTCAAAACACCATTCACTTTCTTCAGTTCTGGATCACTTACAACATGTACACCCAACACCAAAACTGCAAGAGGATGCTAACAATTGTACTTCATCAGAAGAAATCTCTCTAGCTAGCCACATTGGAACAAGTGAAGTGCTTCTGAGTTATTCACCACAAAATGAGAAGAGCGTTGCTGGACCTGATCTTTTGTCCACTGTGGACAGTGGTTCCTTAAATGAAATTCAGGCTTCAAACCTGGGAAGGTGTAGTATACCTGTGTGTGATCTTGTTAATGACACAGGTAACTTAATGCATTCAGTGGCTGCTCACAAAGATACTCAGAAGTTGCAGCCAGATGACTTCCAGTACAGTGACAATTTGATTGGCTTTGGTGTATTACCTGTTCCTACCTGTATGTCATCAGCTGATTGCACTGGTGGTTCAGGTACAGAGCAGAGTGATGGGGACTCAATGCTACAAGATTCAGGACATCTTAAAACAGAGATTAGTCATTTAGCTTCAAAATCAGACAGCTATGCTGCAGCAAAGATCTTGGATCCATGTGATGATCAATACAGGACAGAATCTGTAAAGCACAGTGAAGTATTTGATCAGCTTGAACAAACTGCTTGCCTCAATACTGCATGTGTCCCTGTAACATCACAGAATTTGAATGCATACAGTCCCAAAGATGAGAAAGCATACAAAAAAATGCCTTGTGAACCACAAGATGAAAGTGCATGCTCTTCAGCAAGCAAAGAGATGTATGGAAGAAATACCACAGAAAAGGTAGACTCAGAAGATGAGAGTGACGTTGAATCCATGCCTTCAGATCTACCAAAGAGGCCTCAGTTGCCCAAAAGCCATGCAATGTTACCTGGAAATTGTGTTCTACCAGGCTCCTCATGTGAAACAGGAGCTGAAGTAGAAGTGGAAAAGAAAATCACAGAAGAGAGCGTAGGTAGTGAAGAACTTCATAGCACTGAAATACTAAAGAGTGTTTCCACTTCGTGTATTTCAGTTGAGCATATCCAGACCTCGCTGTCATGTCTTCCACTTCCTGTATCTATATGTGGTTCATTAGTTGTAACGGAAGAAAAAGTTAATCCTCTACCTCAAAATGAAATGGCGGAGGTTATTAGTGATACTTTAACTGTTCATGCTGTAAAGTCTGAAACTGATCTCTCGGGTAGGGAACACTGCGAAAAAACTGACTTGCATGAGCAGGAAGGATATGTAGCTAAAATCAGCGAAAGTATTGTAGAAGAAAGTACAGATGGAGAGAAGTATGATATGGAGAATGTAATTGGTGACAGTGATTCTCAGCAAATCAAAGCTTTTGCTTCTGCTTTTCTAGAGTATGAAGCTGAGCCATATGGTGTTGGTATAGACTCTTATTACAGTGAAAGTATGTGCCCAGTTATGGCTGACTTTACTGTTGAGGAGAATGTTATTAAAAGTGATACTCTAATAAGCGACGCTGAGCTTGATGATTTCTTGTATGGACAAAGTCTTCAGTCCAGTGTGTTGAAGTCTTCAGACAATGATAGTAACTTAATGGAAGCTGATGCAAATGAAGGGGATTTGACAAATGTGAACAACCTGGATTTCACAGAGGTCAGTGAAGAACATATGCAAGCAAAACTGGAGGAGATAATGAGCATTAATAGTAAACTCAAAGTATCTCTTACTGCCAATGAATCAGAATCTGCAACAGGAGATAATATTTCTTGTATTCAGGACATGACGGAGAGTAGTAGTGAAACACTAGTTTCTAATGTTCGTACTGAAGGTGCAAGACCAAAGCAGTTGCTTGGCCTTTCCCAAGGAGCTGTTGGTCAGAGACAACTGAATAGAACAGATGTACCTGAGAGAGAAGACCAAGAAGCTAGTTCTGTTACCCCAGAAGCTCCCCTCTCAGGCAGCAGCATAAATGTTGGTAAAAATTCTGACCCCATGCACTCTGGGGAAAGCAGCTCTGAAGCTGGAGGAAGTCAAACATCTGAAAATGCAGAATCACTTAAAATACCTGCAACTCTCTCACGGAAACAACCATTGTGGGTTCCTGATTCAGAGGCACCCAACTGCATGAACTGCCAAGTCAAGTTCACGTTTACAAAAAGACGACATCACTGTCGTGCATGTGGAAAGGTAAGTTGTTGGAGAGGGGTCCTGTGTTACTGAAAGCAGATGAATTCTGATTTAGGGATAACCAAAAACAGAAGGGAGAGAATATTGACAGGATTTTTCTAGGATCAAAATATTTTAGTTTTTAAAAAACTAATTTTATTTTTCCTTCATAGAAACATAAAGACTGTTGCAAAATACTGATATTAATTAAGAAACATATGACCTTTTTTGTGAAAATAATTAAAGGGAAGTACGGAGAATGTTCTTATTTTTGTCTTCCCATTACTGGCTAGACTAATGTGTTTTGCATAGAACAAGGAAGATGAGACAGTGGACTACTTCATAGTAGTCATAGTGAATCAGCTTTTTACTCAGCTTTTAAGTTAAGCTTAAGTATTTAAGCTTTAAAAAAATGAGATGATGACGATTGGAATTCAGGTAAGTGGTTATACTACCTGTAAAACACTGTCCATGAACCTGGAAAGATTGCCTTCTTTCAGGAGCTGCAAACCAGCAATACCAATGCAAAGGATTAATAGCTTAAATCTGTCCTCCTATGTGTTTAGATGTATAATTTTTCAGGAGAAAAGTATGCTGCTGTTGTGGGGTGAATGGTACTCACCAACTGAGCAAGTAATCTATAGAACTTTTTTTAGCCTGTGGTCTTCTGCAGTGAGTAGATAATGTCAAAGCTTATTCTTAATCCAGAATTCCCTTGTGAGCTACTGTGGCTTACACTTGTACTAGTGCATAAAGGGAAATACTGACAATACTAATGAACTTACTTTTCAGTGTTCCTCTGTAAACTTCATGGATGAGGAGATACAGCAAAGACTAATGTCAGTACTTACTAACTTTTTGCATCCCCAGTGTTGAGAGGCACCTGGAAAGGCTTGGTAATTTTTTCCCAGGTTGCCTCTTCTAGCAGTGTATTCAAAGCATAGTACCATTTACTTCAACTCCAGTAAGTGTGAACTAAAATGTAGGTCTGAATTTGGGTGCCAAGAAAATTAAGAACTCATTGTGACAACATAGAAGTCATTGAACTTGATCACTTGGCAGAATATCCTGTTGAAATTTTGCAACAGTTTAAAAAGCAGTTCTTCAGAGTGGGTTTCGTTTTAGTCATAAGACTGACTGACTTCAAGTTCCTGTTTACATTTGCTGTGAAATTTCTTGCACCTTGTCTAGAGATGAGGATAAAAGCACCTTTCACTACACAGTCCTGTTTACAACCATCAGCTGTTAGTGTTGCTAATCGTGTGTGTTAACAGAGGGATTTTGGCAGACAGTGTAATTAGAGGGAGTGTCATGATGCATGTTCATTGGGAGAATGAGTGAAGGCAGAATAGAGTATCTAAACTTTATGGATCCTGGAGTGCTGTGCAGTTGTAACTCTGTCATAGCTTTTCTGAATGTGCAACAGCTTAAATTTCTGCCTTGTAAGACTTCTTGTCTTTTTAATAGTAAAGTTACTATTAAAACTATTTATCTTAAAAAACAAACAAAACAATCTTTGTGGACGTGGTGTGGGTTGTTGTGTTTTCAACCACTTGGACATTGGAGAAACTGGTAGGATTCACAGTTGTCTTCTGTGGACTATTCTGGAAGACAATTGTATTGTTTTCATGTGGTCCTACAGCTTTTTTTTATCAATGAAAATGGCAAGACTTGTGAATTCTGGCTTCTGTGCTGGAGGGAAGTGTGAGGTTAGTGGTCCCTGCTTTCTCTCCCATCTGCAGCGCTTGTGAGGCCAGACAACTTCTGTTTCTTTATTTTGGTGTTTGTCTCTTGTTGTGGTACTCTTCCTCTTCCTAGCTCAACCAGAATCAATTTCTTTGCTCAGCAGCCTCATCGTAATCTCCTTTTCCCTGTTACATTACCTGTCCCTTAGTTTGTCTTCACCTCTTGTCTCCTGTGCATTAGGATTGAGCCACCTCCTCTGTTGTGGGTCCCAGTGGCACCGAGTGTAAGAGGAGAAAACCAATTGCAAAGGATTGTACTGCTTAGCATTTGAAGCCCTAAGGTGGATTGTAACTGATTAGCAATTAATCTTCACCAGTTATGTTCTTAACATCTTTACTGAGCATGTGCATTTTCAGCTGAGGTAAATTACCTGTGACACTAATGCAGAAGCAATTGGAGTAGTTTCTTTTTTGAGCTCATATTGCACCAATCAAGTATTACTGTTTTTACAGTGACTTTTCCTGCTTAAAGGAGTTAACTTGTAATAACCTAATTATTTTCTCTGTCACTACTGTTTGGGTTGTGTGCTGTCATTCCCCCCCCCGCAATCCACTTTGTTTTCCTGGAGATAATTAGGAGTAGCAGAAGACTTTTAGTGTTCTTTCCATTTGCTTAACTCTGGTCAGTGGTAGAAGGCTTCTGTCAGACCAGGGTTTCAAAAGATACCTTTTGTAAAGGCTAATACTGACTCTGGAGTCTGCATATAGCTAAAAGTGGTGGGACTCTCTGAAAACTTGCAAATCACCCTTGAAAGAACATAAGGGAAAAGTGAGAAAAGCACCAGATACTTACAGGAACTCTTGCAGAAAACAGTTTTACTAGAGACATAATTCTTTGAATGGGATTGTGCAGTAGTAGTCCAGGCTAAAGAGACGCACTTTTTCCCCTCTCTCTGCTTAAAAATAGACAGGATTTATATCCTGTTGGAGTAGAAGAGCATATTCTGTTCTTTCAAAGAAGCCTTCAGCAAGCTTTTAAAATACTTTGCTGAAGGGAACTAGCAACATGAAGGCAACTGTGCTTATTCTTTCTGACAGAGTTCGGGAGCCCACTTAGCCAACAGAGTTCCAGTGCAGACATTAGTAAATAGCTTGGGAAGCAGCGAGCTCTGTCTTAGATAATTGTCTGTGAGGTGGAAGAGGCAGCTTGGAATTTCATGACAAACTGATAGCGCTTGTTATGGGGAGACTTGGTGCAGCACAGAGTGCTGCAACATCAGTGGATGGGGAATGGCTCTTTGCTGGTATGAGACTAGATCGTCATTACCTGAATCCTTATGGGAGATTATCTTCAGAGGTAATACCAAAGCAGTAAAGCAAATCTGACCCAATTCTGGGTTTCAATCCTTGTTCCTATCACTGTTGTTTAATGTGAAATAGTTATGTGATTAACAGCAGTAGGAGTGAATTTGGGAATAAGTGGTGCAATGTGGAATTATTTTCATCGCTCCAGATAAGAATTTTAATATATCATCACTTGTGTCCTCCTTGGCTGCTTTTATTGTGCATGTATTCTGGTTTTGGGGTGTTTTTTCTGAAGGCTTCTTCATGAGAGAGTAAGATACAGGCTTGAATATTAGGCTGCAGAGGGCTTAGAATCAAAGAAACGTATATTTCTTGGAAGAGTTTTCTAATTGCTGTGCAATTGTATACCAGCTGCTTCCAGCTCTGATCTTCAAAAAAAAAAAAAAATCCAGTTTTAGGTATTTTGTGGGCACCTGGCCTTATGTGATTACATCTGCTCACAGCAAGAAATTTTAGGTGCTGCTCTGTTTCATAGCTGAATCTGAGAGAGCATTGGCAAGAGCTGAGTGCTTAGCAGTGTAGAATCATAGAATTGTTTAGGTTGGAAAAGACCTTT